GTTCTCTCAGGGCTCTCTCAGCCCCACCTGCCACACAAGGTGCCTGTTGTGGGGAGAGGGAGGGAAGGTGATTGTAAACTGCTCTGAGACTCCATAGGGGAGAGAAAAGCGGGGTATAAAAACTTTCTTCTTCTCTCCACACAACAGGCACCTTGTGAGGTATGTGGGGCTGAGAGAGTTCTGAGGGAACTGTGACTGGCCCAAGGTCACCCGGCAGGCTCCATGGGGAGGAGTCGTCGGGGATGAGACCCGACTCTCCAGATTAGAGTCCACCCCTCTCAACCACTACATTGCGCTCCAGAAAATGGGAGTATTGGCCAGTCCACCCCTTCAGTTCGGCGGTGGGCAAAGCTTTCCCACTACCGAGCAGTTCTCGACAGAGTTAAGTTCATCAGTAAATTCTCAATGGTGTGCAAGAAAATAACACCCGTGCCGGAGGGCAGGCGAAGCGGGTGACGGACCGATCTGTGCCCTGCACACCTGAGATCTGTGTGTTCTCCCTGGTTTGCTGGCGATGCCTTTGCTGCCTGCCTTGGGCACCTGTTGCCTCAGACCTGTCTGCTTTGAGCGGGAAACTGCAGACAAAAGTCCTCTCGCCTCCTGTGTCCATGTGCAGTAATTGAGCTGAGTGTGGCTGCCTTTCTTGAGCAAGGGCAGACTGACGTGCCGGGTGAGGGGATGCTGGGGGGGGGGAACCTGCACCTGCTAAACGGGCAGTTGATGCCCACTCGTGGGGTGCCACCCCAAGGCTCCAAGGTAACAGCTGTTAGTGGGAAATAATGAACAACAGAGGCATAAAGCTGCTTAATACTGAATCAGACGACTGGTCCATCGAAGTCAGCACTCTCTACTCAGACGGGCAGTGGCTCTCCAGGGTCTTGGGCAGAGGTCTTTTACATCACATCACCTCCAGCCTGGTCCTTTGGTTTGGTGTAGCGGTTAAGAGCAGTGAACTCTAATCTGGAGAAGAAGAGAAGAAGAGATTGGATTTATCCCCTGCCCTTCACTCGGAGTCTCAGAGCGGCTTACAAACTCCTTTCCCTCCCCCTCCCCACAACAGACACCCTGTGAGGCAGGTGGGGCTGAGAGAGCTCTTTCCAGGACTGCCCTTTGTCAGAACTAATACTTTCCCAAGGTCATCCAGCAGCCGCGAGTGGAGGAGTGGGGGAATCAAACCCGGTTCTCCCAGATTAGAGTCCGCGCACTTCACCACGACACCAAACGGGCTGGTTTGATTCCCCACTCCTCCACATGCAGCCTGCGGGGTGACCTTGGGTGAGTCACAGTTCTCTCAAGAGCTGTTTGGTGAGAGCCAGTTTGGTGTAGTGGTTAAGTGCGCAGACTCTAATCTGGGAGAACCGGGTTTGATTCCCCACTCCTCCACTTGCACCTGCTGATGTGACCTTGGGTCAGTCACAAGCTCTGGCACTGTCCTTGAAAAAGAGCCATTTCTGTCAGAGCTCTCTCAGCCCCACCCACCTCACAGGGTGTCTGTTGTGGGGAGGGGAAGGGAAAGGAGTTTGTAAGTCGCTCTGAGACTCCAAGTGAAGGGTGGGTTATAAATCCAATCTCTTCTCTTCTTCGTCTTCTGTTCTCTCAGGAACAGTCCTCTCAGAGCTCTCTCAGCCCCGCCTACCTCACAGGGTGTCAGTCATGAGGAGAGGAAGGGAAGGTGATTGGAAGCTGCTCTGAGACTCTGAGTGAAGGGCGGGGTATAAATCTAACTCTTCTTCTTCTTCCTCCTCCTCCCCCTCCTCCTTTTAACTGGAGGTGCTTGGAACTGAACCTGGGACTTTCTGCATACCAAGCAGACTCTCTGCTACTGAGCCATGGCCCTTCCCCAGTGTCTCAGTGTCAGACCAGGTATGGAGAGATCCCTGCCGTAAATCTCCCCAGGGGACCTTGGGCCAGTCACGTGTGCTCTCACAGCCTAACCTACCTCAGAGGGTGGTTGTGATGGAGTGGGAACACCACATGAATTCCAGAGAGGGATTTTCAGAAAACATAAAGAAGAAGAAGAGAAGAGATTGGATTTCTACCCCGCCCTTCACTACCCGAAGGAGTCTCAGAGCGGCTTACAAACTCCTTTCCCTTCCCCTCCCCACAACAGACACCCTGGGAGGTAAAAGAAGAAGAAGAGATTGGATTTATACCCCCCCCTTCACTACCCGAAGGAGTCTCAGAGCAGCTTACAAACTCCTTTCCCTTCCCCTCCCCACAACAGACACCCTGGGAGGTAAAAGAAGAAGTAGAGATTGGATTTATACCCCGCCCTTCACTACCAGAAGGAGTCTCAGAGCGGCTTACAAACTCCTTTCCCTTCCCCTCCCCACAACAGACACCCTGGGAGGTAAAAGAAGAAGAAGAGATTGGATTTATACCCCGCCCTTCACTACCAGAAGGAGTCTCAGAGCGGCTTACAAACTCCTTTCCCTTTCCCTCCCCACAACAGACGCCCTGTGAGGGAGGTGGGGCTGAGAGAGCTCTGACAGTAACTGCTCTTTTTCAAGGACAGCTCTTATCAGAACTATGGCTTGCCCAAGGTCATCCAGCCAGGTGCAAGTGGAGGAGTAGGGAATCAAACCCAGTCCTCCCAGATTAGAGTCCGCACACTTAACCACTACACCAAACTGGCTCAACGTACCATGTAAGACTGCCTGCTTTCCCCTTATCTCTTTCCTTGGCTGCAGGAAGGGGGGGGAACCCAGATAAGAGGAGGGGGCTCAGTCCTTGCTGTTGGACCAGGCCGATGGCAGCAGGGTATCCTTGGCTACTTGCCAAAAGGGGCTATTCTTTGAAGCCCGTTCTTGGGGCGCCAGCCTGCTGAGTGGGGGGTTTCTTCTGAACTTCCCAGTCCCGGCTAGAGTCCGGGAAGACAGTCCGCAAGCCCCTCCATGTATCACCGCACGTCTCTCCTCCCCCCAACAGGTGGCGATGCTCTACATGGCCACGCGGCTCATTGTCAACCTCTCTCAGACCTACATCGCCATGTACCTCACCAACTCGTTGATGCTCCCAAAGGTGAGTCTGACCTCGAGGGCCCCCCTCCCCAGGTGAGCTGGCCAGAAGAGTGCTCTGGGTCAAGGGAATGGGGTACTTGGCAGTGTCCAGGTCGACGGGTGCTGGGGAGGGGGCGGCAGGAAGTTATAGACTTTTCTGCCCTATTTGTAACCAGTAAGGCCTGCCCGATCTTGTCAGATCTCAGAAGCTAAGCAAGGTCGGCTCTGGTAATTACGTTGAGCGGAGACCACCGAGAAAGGCCAGGGTTGCTATCGCAGGGGGAGGCAATGGCAAACCAACTCTGAACGTCTCCTGCCTTCACCTGGGTGGCCCAGCTGAGCTTGACCTTGTCAGATTTCAGAAGCTAAGCAGGGTCAGCTCTAGTGAGTACTGAGATGGGCGACCACCAAAGAAGTCCAGGGTCGCTATGCTGAGGCAGGCAATGGCCAACAACCTCTGAACATCTCCTGCCTTCACCTGGGTGGCCCAGCTGAGCTTGACCTTGTCAGATCTCAGAAGCTAAGCAGGGTCAGCCCTGTTTAGTACTTGGATGGGCGACCACCAAGGAAGTCCCGGGTTGCTATGCCGAGGCAGGCAATGGAAAATCACCTCCGAACGTCTCTTGCCTTGAAAACCCTACCGGGTGGCCATAAATCATCTGCAACTCGGCTACGCTCTCCATCATCACCAAAGGAGGAGCCAAATGTTCACTCCTTTTCTTTCTTTCTTACAGTTAAAGTTCTATTTTGGGAGGGAAGAAAGTTTTCATGAAGGCTTTTCTCTCCTCCCAAAGTGCCATAGGATTGTGCCGTGGATCTCTCCTTTTGTGTAACACTGGCAGCTTTAAAAGAGGTGACAGATTTTGGCCCTGTTTTCATTATCCACTGAAAACAACAGAGCCAGAACTCCCTTTTTGGGGGGTGGGGGAAGGACTTTGTGAAGAAGAGAGCCCTTTTCAGTTTGCGCCTTTCCCCAGATGGGCATACAGAACGGAATCCCTGTTTTGTCTCCCCCCACCCCCAGCGTTCCGTGCGCCTTGGTGTTTAGTCATGCCGGCCACATGACCACGGAAACGTCTTCGGACAGCGCTGGCTCTTCGGCTTTGAAACGGAGATGAGCACCGCAACTCTAGAGTCGGACTCGACTGGCTTTCGAGCAAGGGAACCTTTACCTTTTTACCCCCAGTACAATTTTTCTGTTTCTAATTTGTGCTTGCTGAGGCTGAGAGAGAAAAAGATCTTGGGATCATTGTGGATAGCTCCGTGAAAGTGTCAACCCAGCGTGCTGCAGCGGTGAAAAAGGCAAACTCTGTGTTAGGGATTATTAGGAAAGGGAAATGGCCAGTATTGTAAGGCCCCCGGTATAGATCTATGGTGCAGCCTCATTTGGAATACTGTGTACCGTTCTGGCCACCGTACTCCAAAACAACAGAAATTAAACCACGTTTCTTCTTCATTAGCTCTCGTCTTTTTCTCAGCCTTATCCGCTGCTGACTGAGCAATCTAATGTGCTCTGATAGTTGCTCAAATGTATTCTGTAGTTTTTTAATGTCCTCTCTAATGTTTTTCCCCCAACGTTAGATATCAGCTCAGCCATCTCCTTCGCTTCCCTCTTCGTCGCCATTTCCCCGTTATTACGAGGGAAGCCTCTAAGTAACTTAATTGGCTTTACAAAGAAAACTCACCAAGTCCAAAGTGATCTCGTCCTTCTTCAAAGTTTTCTCCTCCCTAGGGTTACTCTTTTTGTCCTTATCTTCTAGTGTTTTGGGTTGTAATTTGTTTTATCTAACTCCTTTCTCGGAGGGGTAGCGTGAGGCGTCTAATCTTGTTGACGCATGCGCAGGTCTCCTCCAAACCACGTTTCTTCTTGGTGTAATGGTTAAGTGCGCGGACTCTAATCTGGGAGAACCGGGTTTGATTCCCCACACCTCCACTTGCACCTGGCTGGACGACCTTCGGCAAGCCGTAGTTCTGACAAGAGCTGTCCTTGAAAAAGAGCAGTTTCTGTCAGAGCTCTCTTAGCCCCAGCTACCTCGCAAGGGTGTCTGTTGTGGGGAGGGGAAGGGAAAGGAGTTTGTAAGCCGCTCTGAGACTCCTTTGGGTAGTGAAGGGTGGGGTATAAATCCAATCTCCTCCTCCTCCTCCTCCTCCTCCT